AAACTCAACACCCAAAGAACAAATAATCCAATCAAGAAATGGGCAGAGGACATGAACAGACATTTCTGCAAAGAAGACATCCAGATGGCCAATAGACACATGAAAAAGTGCTCCACATCACTCGGCATCAGGGAAATACAAATCAAAACCACAATGAGATATCACCTCACACCAGTCAGAATGGCTAAAATTAACAAGTCAGGAAATGACAGATGCTGGCGAGGATGCGGAGAAAGGGGAACCCTCCTACACTGTTGGTGGGAATGCAAGCTGGTGCAACCACTCTGGAAAACAGCATGGAGGTTCCTCAAAATGTTGAAAATAGAACTACCCTATGACCCAGCAATTGCACTGCTGGGTATTTACCCTAAAGATACAAACGTAGTGATCCGAAGGGGCACGTGCACCCGAATGTTTATAGCAGCAATGTCTACAATAGCCAAAGTATGGAAAGAACCTAGATGTCCATCAACAGACGAATGGATAAAGAAGAAGTGGTATATATACACAATGGAATACTATGCAGCCATCAAAAGAAAAGAAATCTCGCCATTTGCGACAACGTGGATGGAACTAGAGGGTATCATGCTTAGCAAAGTAAGTCAATCAGAGAAAGACAACTATCATATGATCTCCCTGATATGAGGGAGAGGAGATGCAACATGGTGGGTTAAGGGGGTAGGAGAAGAGCAAATGAAACAAGATGGAATTGGGAGGGAGACAAACCATAAGTGACTCTTAATCTCACAAAACAAACTAAGGGTTAATGGGGGGAGGGGTGTTGGGGGGGGTGGGATTATGGACATTGGGGAGGGTATGTGCTATGGTGAGTGCTGTGAAGTGTGTAAACCTGGCAATTCACAGACCTGTACCCCTGGGGATAAAAATATATTATATGTTTATAAAAAATTAAAAAAAAAAAGGTGGTCCAAACAAAGCAATCAAGCAATAAAAATCCCACTCCTCAAGTAGCGATTCATTTAATGAATACCCATAATATAATCAGAGTGCTTTAAGACACAATAAACATTACAACAAAGCTCACAATGTGAAACAAATTACAAAACAAAAAAAAAGTTAAATGAAATATCTTCAATCAAGTTTCAAGGCTGTGAGAAACAACAGTGTTAAAATAGTAATTCCACCAAATGGATATGGGATAAAATATTGTTAATGTGCAGGAGACAGACTTGTAGATTTTAAGCACTTAAGTTAGGCTCCACAACTGAGAATGATCTATTTCCCTGGTGATGGCAAACCTTTCAGAATCAACTGACCATTACATTTCTCATTAATGACATGAAAATTAGTTTCATATGAATCCCTTTTAAAAGGCTTTCAAAAGAGGCCATTAAGCTCTATATATTCATTACCTATAAAAGCTATAAAAACAAAACTATCATTTACTGTATTCATGTGTTCTAGGTGCTATGATAAACTTTTATGTATGTTATCTCAAGTAATTCTCACAACCATCCTGAAATGTAGGTATTAGGTTTATCCCTATTCTTTATATGAAAATATGAAAGTTCAGAAAAGTAAAATTATCTGCCTGAAGCTACAGACTAATTGTTGGAGTAAACCTTGATCGTTAAGCTATAATTGACTACATCTTAGACTGAACAGGGACCAAAAACCATAAGCTTGTACTAATAGTTGGAAGTGTTGAGCAAAAAGTGAATATTTCTACAGCTGTGATGACATACATGATTAGCAAAAATTGGATCACAATGATTTCCCAACATTAGAAAGGAACCACCCCACATCTCTGATGAGGTTTCTCTTCAGAAATCAGGTATCTAGGCTGAAACCAAATATGGAGGTTTCCCATCTCATAGTGCAGCAGCACTGAGAGAGGCAGAAGACACCACGGGCTGAGGTAGAAATCCAGCACAACAGGTACCGGGATCTATGTTCAGTCCATACCTCAGAGAAGGCCCTGATAAGACAGAGATGCTACTTGTGCCTTGTTCCCTTCCCTTCTAGCTTTATAGGACCAGTTTTAAAAGAATGTATGATTTGGCTAAAGGGTCTGTACCAAAAAGTTTTATCAACCACACTGTCTTTTCACAAAAGGACAAAATTACAGGCTTAATGCAAAAGGACAAAATTACAGGCTTAATGCACTAGATTTAATAACAGTTTAAAAAATTAATGAGAATTCCAGTATTGAACAAAATCCGTATTTCTCAACATATTTTTGCGAAGACAATTTTCACTATCAGATGCTAAGCCAACCTGGCTCTGCCCACTAAGTGCTGGTAATATCTTCCAGTCACCAAGACAACTAACCCCCCCACCCCCCGCCATGGGACCTGGCAAGAATCACTTCACTCAGCAAGCTGGCTGAATCACATATATATATGGATCCCAGCCTTTCTCAACCTCCTCAAAATCTTCACAAAGAATGTAGCCTCAGAGGCAAGTAGGCCCAAAAGTGCTCAAGATTTTAATATTTAATAATCGTTTAAAAACAACGAACATTTTGGGACGGGTCTGAGATTCCTAGTTCATTTTAAGCTTACTAAGTTTCTTTCTAATGGTAGAGTTCAGTTGCAGTTCCATTGGTTCCTTCTGCAACTTAGCCACACTGATAAAACATTTACTGCAGATGGGTCCTGAGGTGTGAAGTCTAAAGACAATCAGGACCTTGAAGTATAAATTAGCCTGATCAAAACATGTTAATCTTTTCTGAAACTTGCTCCATTTGTGTCAAATACTACTCCAACTCTCAATGTGGCTTGTTACCTGGCAATGGTGTGACCAACCTTTGGGTCTGGCTGAGATGGTTTTTTTTTTTTTTTTTTTTTTAAATTTATTTGACAGATCACAACTAGGCAGAGAGGCAGGCAGAGAGAGAGAGGAGGAGGAGGCAGGCTCCCTGCTGAGCAGAGAGCCCAATGCGGGACTTGATCCCAGGACCCTGAGATCACGACCTGAGCCGAAGGCAGAGGATTTAACCACTGAGCCACCCAGGCACTCCTGAGATGGGTTTTTTAGAATGTGGGATTTTGAGTCCCAAACTGAGGACAGCCCCAGGCAAACTGGGATGGTTGTCATCACACGTGGCACTCAAATATTTGTTGAATGAAAAGACAAACAGGATTCCACAGAATATGTGACACTTCAAAACTGAGAAATCAGTACAATTTCCAGTTGTCATTTACTAAAATTTTCTGTCATTTAACTCAAAAATCTGTATTTCCTTTAATGAAATCAGCAATGTTCTCAATTTTACCAAGTTCTTTATGTTCAGAGGTCTGTAACTAATAAGCAGATGACAACATAACTTCTATCTCTAGGTTGACCTTTCATTTTGAGTTATGGACTCATATATTCAACTGCCTACTTGTTATCTCTACTTGAATTTTTAACAGTATATAGGTTATAATTACCCAAAAGAGAAGTAGTGATTTCTCTTGACATCTGCTACACACTCCAAGATGTCTCAATCTGAATTAATGGCACGTGCATCCATTTAGATGCTCAAACCAAAACCTAGTAGTATCCCTGATTCCTTCCTTTCCCTTGTACCCCACATTCATCAGCAAGTCCTGCAGGCTCTTCTTCCAAAAAAAATTCTAGATGCCTCTACTTTTCCCCCATCTCCACTGCTATTAGTCTTTAATTCAACAAATGTTTACTGAGTGCCTCAATGTGTTCTAGGAGCTAGCAACAGAGGGGACAAAAAGACAAAAGGCTCTGCCCTCAGGGAACTTATACAAACCATTTTTGTTTCTCCTAAAGCTTTCTAACTGGTCTCCCTGCTTCATCCCTTGCCCCCATCCCAGAACATCCAGAACATTCTCTATACAGCCACTAATGTAATCTTTTAAATATTCTTCCCTGCCTAAAACCTTCCTATGGTTTCCCATCTCACTTATAATGAAGTCCAAGTCTTTATCCCCACACCCTAGATTCTGCTGGCCTGTGTAGCTACTCTCTGTGCCAAAGCTAATCCTACTAGAAGTCTGTTGCACATCTGAATGCTTCTGTTTGAAGTACTCTTACCTGAGGGCTTCTTTTCATTTAGTTCCCAGCTCAAATATTATCTCCTGAGAGGCCTACCCTGACCACTCATTCTTACATAGCTGCCTACCTCTACAGTTGCTTTTTCATGTATTAGCATGCCTTATTTTCTTTTTTGCACTCATCTTTGCTTTCACGTCTACTGTTGTCTAACCTATTAGAATCAGGCTTCATGTGAGATGGGATCATTTTCTCTAGTTCACTACTATACCCTTCAGGGCCTGAAACAGAATCTAGGGAGAAAAGCAGAGAGGCAGGAAGGAAAATACTTCTTATGGCAACTCAGCATATCTCTTTTTAACAATTTCTATAGCCTTGCATTTCTGACTGCTATGGACTGCTGTGCATCCACAACCTGGCTCAACGTCTTTCAATAGTCCATAAACTAGAAATGGTTAAGCATATATACATAAAGAAAACTGACAATATTGATAACTTTCATTGTGTCATAAAATTAAGCTATGCCACAAGACTTGAGAAGATGAAAACACTGAACTTTTATTTTGACTAAAAAACAAACAAACAAATACTGACATTCTTCTCTTCTGTCACAGAAGAAATCCCTTACATGTGTCAACTTAACTCAGCTTTTCTGCATTTACTCTTTTCATTTCTTACTGGAGACAGGTGGTTAGACCATGCTAATATTTATGTATACTTACAAATCAGATTTTTGCCAAAAGTCTAAAGTGACCCACAATTTGGTCTTTGGGTTGTACGTCTGAACTTCCTGTTCTAAAGAATTAAAACTTGAAAGAATTTTCCCTGTGGGAGAGTTGTTATACTTTACTGTGATTTCAAAATTATTTACTGTGACTTTTAAATATCTAATAGGTGAAGAAGTAAGTAGTTCCACAGATTTTCAAAATAATATATTAATTTAAAAATATTATCTTATTTAGATATTTATCCATCAACATTATAATAAATTCTTTATATGTGAACCAGGGAAAAGAAACCCTTTAACTTACCTCTTCAAAGCCCATTTCAAATAAACACTCAACGGCTCCTCTAACAGGTAAGAGTCTAGTAGAAAAAGCTGTGTTTCCAATCCGGATAGATCTATATTTTTCATCATTAGGGTTTCTGATTTAAATAAAAAAAAGTATGATTATATACAACAATTTACACATTCCAAAGTGTTTTTGCACTCCTTCTTACATTTTATACTGGCAATACTGGCTACGAGGTAGTAAGGTTCCCAACCTTAAAGAAAAAGGAAGCAAAGTCCAGAAAAATAGCCGGATTTTATGATTCTTACCTCAATATACAGTTACTACCACCTTACTGTTTAATTTCATAGCTAATGATATTAATGCTTCCATAAGGGAAATCCATGCGACATTTTAATTCTATGCTGTTAAAGCCACATACCTTTATGAGTTTTTAGGTTGCTAAGAAAAAAAATCTAGGTAAGCTCCAGACATAGGTGCAAGTTTGCCTATTTTGTTCTGATTGATCAATCAAGAATGGTGCCTGATGCATACAGATGGCGGTTAATAAATACTTGTGAAATGAATGAATGAATAAAAGAAACTAAGAAGCTTTAAACAAAAAAGGATCACAGTTCCTCAAAGACTTTACCTCTGACAAATACAAATCCAGGTATACCTCAGAGTCAGTTGATTTTCTTTCTTCCCTAGACCAATGATTGTTTTTATACTAAGTTCTGCTTCAGCTCAAGATATATTTTTGTCAGAGCCCAAAATTTTTTTACCATGATTAAGATTTTGAATATCATACATGGGATGAGACCAGCATATGAAAAACTTTGATATTTTTAATAACCTGAGAAATCAGAAAGGCTGTATTAAAAAAAAAAAAAAACAGAAAAAAAAATACAGGGTTAAGATAACCACAGTATTGGGGTGCCTGGGTGGGACAGTCAGTTAAGCGTCTACCTTTGGCTCAGGTCATGATCCTGAAGTCCTGGGATCAAGTCCTGAATTGGGCTCTCTGCTCAGTGGGGAGACTGCTTCTCCCTTTCCCTGTGCCCTTCCACCCCGCTCATGTTCTCTCAAATAAATAAATAAATAAAATTTAAAAAAAATAATGACACTATTATACTTTTATTACACAAAGGAACTTCAGAACATAATTTAGGATGATGAAATTTTTTAAAATTTTATTTATCTGTCAGAGAGAGAGGGAGAGAGAGAGACAGCATGCTCTCAAGGACAAGCAGGGGGAATGGCAGGCAGAGGGAGAACCAGACTCCCTGCTGAGCAAGGAGTCAGATGCTGGACTTGATCACAAGACCCTGGGATCATGACCTGAGCCAAAGGCAGACACTTAGCTGAATGAGCCACCCAAGAATCCCGATGAGCAAATTTCAAATCTGATACAAACTCCCTTGCAATAGTAGTGGCTTCCATTAGCACTATTCTAAGAAGGATTCTGAGGCCATGTCAGGGGTCCATAGGAAGGAGTGCTGAGGCCATCTGCCTGGGGTATGGAATGGATGATGGACAAATGTTAGCAACTGCTAGCAACCATTAAGCATTTTTGTCCTAATTTGTAGAAATTTCAACATATTTCACATTTGTTTTCTATAAAGCAACTCTCTATTGCCAAACTGTCATATATACATAAATATTTTTTAAACTTTTCTTTAATTTCAAAAACTGTACAAATTTATTACAGAATACTCAGAGATAAAGCTCTAAAATAGTATTATTCAAAAGGTCCACAGACTGGTGCCCACCTGTAAACTCCTTGTTAGTCATTCATGAGAAGTACAGAAATTGAGACTACTCAGCAATTTTATAACAATTTGCCATGAAATTTTTATTGTACTTTACAAAGTTATAGATCCACAAAAAATTGGAAATTAAAAATGAAAACACTGTTCTTCAACGTGGATGGTTAAAAAACACAAAGAAAAATATATCTGCCACTCTTTTATTCTTTGTTTTAAATGAGAGTTTCTCAACCTTGGCATTATTGACATTTGAGGTCTTTGTTGTAGGGACTGCCCTGAACACAGCACCATACTTAGCATCCCTGGCTTTTATGCCACATTGTATCATAAGTGTACCTCCTTTTCTTACCACTTAAAAAACATTAAACTATACAATATTCTTACTTTATCAAGGCCAGTTATAGATAAATGAAGCATCTTTTCATGATATTCAACACATTTTACAGGGTCATAACCGTCAGTACCACCAGGATGATATAATGTACTGGTGCAAAACTGACTGATTTTTTTTTTTTTAACCTATTTTCCCCCCAATAGCTTCCAGATTTTTATATGATCAGTCTTTCTCTGGCTTTAATTTTATATTTTTTTCCTCCCTCTTTCACGACTGTTTAAAAATTCTTATAAAACCTAGACTAGTTGATCTGATACAACTTATTATTTTGATTCATGTTTCAAAATAACTCTTGATACAGCTTTTCTGCTCCAGTCTAGTCAGCAATTTTCTGTCTTTTAACATTATGGGCCTCACAATACCATTTATCTGTTTTTCTCACTAAAAAAATAATGCAAACAAAAGCAAACCAAAAAGACCAACAGTAATGTCTGGCTACCCAAATTCTATCTTCCTGTTTTTAAATATGCTGAGCACACCAGCCATAGCACAACACACAACACACACAACACACTGAACACACAACAGTGCCAAAAGTTTGTCCTGAAGCCCTCCAAGGCAGAGGGAATTTGGCCATAAAGCCATCAGAGCTCAAATCCAACAGATCCCATTCCCTGCCCCTGGAAAAGTACCAAACAAACACTTTCTAAATCTCTAGCTTCACAGCATATCCCCAAGTATCCACCATTCTTGAACTCATTACTATTCTCCTTATCTGGCAGTGGCTAAAGTAGCCCTAAGGATCACGTTTATTTTTGCTTCATTTTCTTCTTTCATTAACTTAATTTCCTCTGTAGATTTTTCTCAAGTATTTTTTGCTATAATACTTAGATGTGTTTTTTTCTACCTCTGCCGACCCTGAACTATTTCTGCAATTTGTAATATTTATCTTGCTTGTTTGCAATAATTTTTACTTTTTTTTTTTTTTTTTTTGGTGTGTTTGTTGGACGATGTTAAAAGAATGGGATCTTGAAAGGGCAGCAAAATGTCCTGTACCTTACTACCACTTTGAATACATTTTGCTGTCTTCCTAGTTGTCTTACCCCCTACTTCTCTTTGTTTTTATTACTGAATGGTAAAAAAAAAAAAAAAAAAAAAAAAAATCCATGCTTTTTACCTTCAAAGTCAGAACTGACCATATATTTAAGATCTTAAGACACACTAGGGGACCTGAGTGGCTCAGTCAGTTGAGGGTCAGGTTCTTAGTTTCGGCTCAGGTCATGATCTCAGGATCATGGGATCAAACCCCCATGTCAGGCTCTGTGTTCAGCATGGGTCTGCTTGTGATTCTTTCCTTGTTCCTCTCACTTCTAAATCCCACTCCCTCACCCCCTTCTCTATAAAATAAACAAAAAAAATAAAATCTTTTAAAAAAATATTTGTTTTTAAAAGACTTTATTTGAGAGAGAGTGAGAGCATGTGCACGTGACTGCACATAAGCAGGCTTCCCGCTGGATAGGGAGTCCAGATGCAGGGCTTGATGAAGGGCTCGATCCCCCGACCCTGGGCTCATGACCTTAGCCAAAGGCAGACCCTTAACTGCCCGAGCCACCCAGGCACCCAAAAAATATCCTAAGACATGTTAACAGTAGGTTTCCCAGAGGTCACAGATTCAGAAAAAAGAAAACCTTCAATGTTTCTATTTTAGAATTTCAGAAATGCTGGTAATTAAATATATTTAGCCATTTACTAGCCCTCTACCTCTTTAGAATTCATAATCTTAGAAAGGGTTTACATAAATAGAAATCTAGTACACAAGAGATGGTATAATCTTGTATTTATTACTAATCACAAAAGTTGATTTGCAGGCCATTTAGAAAATAGAAAATATTTCTAGTCCTTCTGAAAATCTATTCTTCTGTGATACATGTAAATTTTTCAAAAACATCTTTAGAACCATCTGGGAACCATCTCTGACTCTAGCTCTACCACTCTATGTAGCTGACAAAAAGGGAACCACACACATAATCTAGCTTGTTCAACATGAAAAAACTGAATAATTTCTTTTGCAACAATCCTATAATGCAGGCACTTTTCTTTCCTCTTAAAATTGAGGAAACTGAAAAAAAAAAAATTGATGAAACTGAAACCCAGAGACTTTACATAAACTGCCTAGAGCCACACTCTTAAGAAATGGTTGACTGGGATTCAAACCACTGGTCTGATTACAAAGCTTACATACTCTCCACCATACAATATACCAACAAACTCACCAATCCTCAATTAACTTCCCTCTCTCAATTTCTCTAGTTGTCAACAGTCACCTAGATTAGAAAGCTTAAGTTATTTGAATTATTTTGTCTCCTCTACTCATTGCATTCTGTCATCAAGAACTGCCAATCCCTGCCTCCGACTGTTCTTTCTACATTCTATCCCCATTCATGGTTATGATTACTGTAACAGCTTCACAAATGAAACCCATGCTTGTGCCTTACATCACTATTCTACATGAAACTCCTTCATGTATCTCTTTGACTCTAGAAAGTACAATTATTTTCTCTTACCTCTTATATCAAACATAGGTTCTCTACTATTCCTTGAACCCATCCCATCTTCCCAAACCTCCATTCTCAAAACTCTTCCACACTAGGTCCCTCTGCTATCTCCAGACATAAACATGTAACTGCTTGAACACTGTCTTCCAATTATTCTCTAAATTTAATGCTGTGGCTACTTTCCATACTTATGTTCTTCTCCTAAACATAACTTTTTTCTTGGAAGAAACCACTTTCCATTCTTGGCCCTTCCCAACCCTACGCAGTGCAGTTTGTAACCAATAACTGTGTGCAGTTTGCAAAGGAAATCAACCATCTTTTTTAAAGAATGAAAGGAGCAAATTATCTACGGAACACATGCTAGTCAAACTATTATTATTACTGAGACAGCTCAACTTTATCTAGAAGTTAGTGAACTAAAAAAAAAAAGGTAGAAAGTTTCAAACCTATAGCATATTGTACATGCGAATTAGCTTACATTTTATTCTAGAATTTC